GACCATCTCGGTGGCTGCGGACATGGGCCCAGCAGCCAATTATCCCACTTCCGATCTGCTTCACACATGTCCTGTCTGGGGGCCTCCTCAGAAGGGTCAGAGGATGTGACATATTCCTAGCCCTGAGGTCCCCCCTCTACCACAGCATAGAGAGGAAATCCCACGGAATGGCGGAGAAATCCATAAAGGGGGAAGGCCAAAAAACCTGAGGGAGAGATCTGGAACAAGGAGCCTCTAAAGCCCTGAGGACATCAAACTCTGGCAAAGTACTCCCACAGAGGACCAGGAACAGGAGGACTCAGGCAGGGCCCTATCCCAGGGCAATACCTGAGGGAGTCTGAGAAGGCCTCTATGTCGAATTTGGAGATGCTGTAGCCGCCACTTGTAATAGACACTCTACCCCCAATGCTGGAGACGTTGACCATGTGGCCCCTTGCCTTCCTCACTAAGGACACCAGGCCCAGAGTCACCTCGATCACCCCCAGCAGGTTGAAGTCCAGTATGGTCACAAAGTCTTGTTTGGTCAGCCACTCATTGGGGTTGAGGGCACCGAGGTGCCAGCGTTATTAACCAGGCCCCAGAGTCCTGGGGACAGTGAGAAGAGGAGACAGCATTTCTTTCTAAGAATTCTAAGAATTTCTATTTCTTTCGAAGAATATAGTCAGTACACATAATTACAGAGATGCAGGTAAATCCAAGTTTTCCAGAATGACAACAATGAGAATAAAAAGTAGAAAAAAATTCCAATATCGGGACCCTGGCTCTGATTTACATAAGTAAGGCTACATCAAGGAAAGAATATTCTAAATCATTAAACACTATGTCTTATAAACTTGTTCACTATGTTGAGAAGATGTTCATTTTTGAGAGAATACAATGTGATACAAACCTTGATCAAAATGTAACCCCAATTACAGGAAAGTATAAAGCATATTTATGTGTAGATGATGATTTGAGGATGAACCTTGCTTCTATCATTATACTTTTAGGTATTGGGGCAATGATCATGTTCTACATTTATTCTTATATCAAGGAAATGCATGTCCTCTTCATCCCCCATAACAAGACAGACAAGGCATTGGTATTAAAGAAGAAGGAAAGTAAAATAATCCCTTATAAGATCTACTTTTTTACACAATCCCCCTCTCTTGTCTCTGAACATGGGGTTGGTCTTAAGTCTCCATGGACGGGGGTGGCCCAGGTAAGGACAAGCTGAAGAGCTGGGAACATGAGCCTGGCTTGGCATGGAGCACACCCCCCTCCATGCACATCTCCAGCCCAGGGAGACCTGATGGGTGAGGAAGGTCTCACCCATAGGAGGACTTGAACCTGGGAACACTCTGTGCATCTCCCCGGGGACGGGACAGGGGTGTCCCTTTAACAAAGACGGAAGCACAAACAGACTGGAAGAATCTGGGCAGTACCTCTGTCCCCTACACGCTCCTTCACCCACTGGGCAGCTGCAGAGATACTATCTGTCTTGGTGACATCCAGAGTCACCGTCTCCAGCCTGTCTGACGTCTGGGCTCTCAG